GCTTTACAGACAGGAACTTAAGTCTTTTTTGACAGTGTCTCACTGTGTAGTTCAGGCTGGCCTTGAACTCATTATGTAGCCCAGGCTGGCCCTGAACTTGTAAGATCCTCTCAGCCTCTGAGCTGCCTGCCTCAGCCTCTGCCGTGTCATGTGCCCAGCAAAGAGGATTTAGTCTTAGTTAAGTAATAGGGCCATGTTCACACAGCCAATAGTTAATTTAGGAAAGTTCTTTTACTGCATCTTAGCTTCTCTTTGTAAAATAAGAAAATCATTTATCATTGTCTACAGACTTTAGAGAACCTCAGAGAACAGGGGTGTAAAGGCTAGGCTATTTTCTTTAAACTTTGTTTAAAAAGATAGAGCTGACCAATCTGTGAGGCTTAATAGGAGCTGGTACGACTATTACACAGAAGTGTAGTTCTTGGGATTACTACGACTTGTCACCTTTGAAATGATTTTTTAAAAATCTTCTAGTTATTTATTTGGTACAGGGTCTCCCTGTGCAGCTTGGCTTGCAGTGATCCTCCTGTCTCAGCCTCCCCAGCACTGGGATGACAGGCATGTGCCACCATGCCCGGTTCTGGTGGCCAGCACTACCTGCCCGGGGTTCTGGGGCTGGAACGGCATGCAGTACCAGGGTGATCCCAGGTCCTTGCACTTGCCAGGCAGGCGCTTAGACTGCTGAGCTCTCCCCAGCCCCTGAAATATTTTTCCTGACTATAGCATGCATTGATGAAAAAGGCCTATCAAATAAAACACCCTAAATGAACTTTAGGGTTACTGCTGCTAACCTTGTGACATGCTCACACACACTCTTAGCTTACCTGCTTCAGGCTATATTATCTATAGTTTGTTCCCAGTTACAAAATCAAGCTTTGCTTCACATCACTGAACTCTTTCACAGCATGTAGTTCTGGATATACTCTCACATGTTTAACACTTCCTCAAAGGTGGGGCTTACTGCTTTCGCAGTGTGACTAACCTTACGCAATACAGTCTTCTCAGTTTAACCTTCTATTTACTACAAACTCACAGAAGCTGGGTCACTGAGGTGGACACACGCGTTCGGTCCTGATGGCGTTCTGGCATGGCATTTCCTCAGCGGACCTGTCTTTTTTCTCTTGCTTCCTAACTTTTTCCCAGACGATGATGATGGTTATTCCCAGATTATCCTGCAGCCTGTGTGGACAGAAAAGCAGCAGGGTGAACCCCTCTTTCACAGGCCCTGAACTGCAGGTGCTTTTTCTCCTTCTTGTCCTTTTTTGGGGGGGAGGCATTGGAAAGTATAGTTCTTTTTAAAATTTTTAAATTTTTTTTATTATTTTATTTTCTTTGGGAAAGTGTAGTTTTTGAAGGCTTTTTGATTGTTAAAATTTGAATTTTGTTCTGAGTTTTAGCTGTCTTTTTGGACAGTAAGTTGAAGTAGAAAGTGTAATACTTGCAGCATCCTTGTCTGGCTGAGAGGTAAGTTCATGGTGCTCTTTAACTTTGGTCCCTAACTCTGGGTATCCAGGCTGCAAATGAAGGAGACGCTTGTCTCCAGTTAACCCAGTCTCTAAGATGCTAGGACAGTCTCAGTTACTTTTCTCTCCTTCTTGGGACTGATACCTGACACCCAAAATTAAGGAAGGAAAGGTTTATTCAGCTCCCAGTCAGTGCAGGTTGCAGCCTACCCTCAGCTGGCTCCAGGCAGAGGGGCACAGGGCCGAGGGCCGCCACGTCATCGTGGCAAAGCCCAGCAAAGGGAGGAGGCGCAGCTGCGGCAGCTAGCGAGCCCCTCCCCTCCTGACACTTGTATGCAGACTGTCTGCCGCAGGGCAGGTGTGGCTTTCACACCCAGAATCCTGGCATTAGATCGAGAATCAGTCAACTCCACAAGCCCGCCCCAACAACTGCGCGAGGCTTTGGGGACACCCAGCCATGGACCATACCAGGACACTACCTGCATGCCACATTTACAGATGGAACCTCTTTGACTGGCTGGGTGTAGAGGTATACACTGTAATCTCAACACTGGGGAGGCTGAGCCAGGAGGATCACTGCGAGTTCGAGGCCATCTTGGACTACACAGTGAGGCTTGTCTGGGCGAGGCTTGGCGCTGATTGTCCCGCTCTCCTCCTCTTGCAGCTTTTGCTCTGTCCTTCCACTCCTGGCTTTGTGGCTGACTCCTCCTATTGCTCCCCACCACCATCCTGAACACTGAGTGCGTCCTCTGCCTGCTTCTCTTAGAACCAGATTTCACTCCAGCCTGGTGTGGCCACCTTTGTCTTCAGATGGGAACAGAATCCAAAAGGTGTCCCTGAGAGTGAGGGGGACCTGTCCCTGTTTCCTTGTAACCTTCCCTGGACCTGATGCAGCAGCCCTGGAGGAGCCCACTCTACCTGATGGCAGCCATGATTTCTTCTCAAAAGCACCTCCTGCCCCACAACTGAAGTGCCTTCCCCCTCGGACTGTCTGAGCTGACCCAGCTTGCTCCCCTGGTGTCAAATTGTGCCTTGCACCTTGGGAAGCCCACATGAAATTGTCCCAAGGTGCTGTATGTTCTACCTCATGGAGTGTTTTGTGCCCAGAAATTGCAATGAACTTTTTAGCAGAGTAAATCTTTAAGGATTCCTGTAGCATTGGCCAAAAAAGGGCTTGGCTCAGTCTTCAACCTGGCCAGATGCTACTTTTCAGACTGTTGTTCCTGTGTCCCGGAAACAGGAGGGACCAGTGGATGGCATTTGGGTTTGGAAAGCTGACTGCTTTGAAATTGAACTCTTAGTAAGTGCAGTTTGGGGCCACATTCTCCTTCCTGTGTTGTATTCTTTTTAAAATGTATTTGGTACAGGGTCTCACTACGCAGTTTGGACTTACGTGATCTTCCTCCTGGGATTATAGGTGTGCGCCACCATGCCTGGCCTTAGTGGCTGGCTAAGCATGCCCAGGGTTTGGGCCAGTGCAGCATGTGGTGCTAGGGATCAAACCCTGCTCCCTGTGCTTGCCTAAGCAGGCGCTTAGTCCGCTGAGCTATCTTGCCAGGCATCCTTGTGTTGTATTCCTTCGTGTTTACCCAGAGGAACCAGGATGATACAGTCATCTGAAGTTATCATTTGCAGAGGCAACTGAGATTCAGGTAGCTGCATGTGTCTCTCAGGAAGTAGGAATTGAGAAGCAGAAGATACTAGGACCTCACAAAACCACCCATCCAAGCCCAGAATGCAGCTCTGAGCTGCAGTAGCCACCAGGTTAGGAGCATTTGCTTCCTTGCAGATGAACCTTCTCATTGCAAGACCAGCTCTCCCCTACTATCAAGAAGTCGTTTCTGGGTGTGTTCTGGGCATTGCAGGAGCTCCTTGAGTGAGCACTGCCTTGAGCCTGGTGCCATCCCTCCGCACAGCAGATGGGAGGTGTCATGTTGGGCACCCTTCCCAGCTGCTGCTTATGTAAGACTTGTCTGCGGCCACTCCCACAGCAAGCTGGTCTTACTCACGTGACCTGTGGGATGTCCTGTCTCTGGGGCTGACCAGAAATTAGAGTGGCTCCTCCCACTCTGGGCCAGTGAGATTTACAGGCCCTTCCTTTCCCCTGGTTCTCCTCACAGGGGAAGCAGCAGGGACTGCTCACCCAGTGGTGTCCCCTCAGGTCCCTGCTGCTTTGCTCCCACCTTCCTGATTCAGGTACAGCTGTATTTCGGCTCTGCAACAGACTCTAGGGCAGGGTGCGCACTGCCCAGTGCTCCCTCCCGGCCCAGACGGAGCCAGCGCGCCTTCCGCATAGCGATGACGTCTGACAGGGATGGCCCCACAGGAAAGGCAGACTAATCCCAGGCCTTGGCTCCCTTCCGAGATCGAGGGCTGGTGCTGAAAGTTTAGAACACAATATGTGAAGGGGATTTCTTATTTGTATTTTTTAAAATGTAAACTTGATTATTTTATTGCTAATTTAAAAATAAATGACTTTATATTGATTGTGAAATGGTTTTACCTCCCTACAAAACACAGGGTAATTTAGTGCCACTATGTGAGGTTTTTTTTCTTTTTTTGGTGGAACCGGGGATTGAACTCAGGCCCTTGCGCTTGCCAGGGAAGCACTTATTCTACTGAGCCATCTCCCCGGCCCCTATGTGAGCTTTGTTCAGGTTTTGGAATAGGGTTAAACCCTGCCTCAGTGATGGTTCAGATGTTCAGCTTCTTGAAAGTGGCTTAATTTCCTGAATGTGTTGTGGTTGTACCCCAGTTTGAGTTGGGGTGCTGCCCCTGAAGGGATCTGGTCACTTGCTGAGGGCCTCTGTATCCAGGAGAAGTGGAGATGTGTGCCGCTGCCTGCTGGCGGGTGGAGCAGCCTTGGTACCCAGGCTTCTGGCTGACCTCGTTTTGGGTCTCTCTTTCATCTGGAAGCGTTTCTGAGAACAACCTGGGTTCTAGAAGCCAGATCCATCTCCCTGCCTTTTGCTCCCTCCCCTGCTGCCCTCTTCTGTGTCTGGAAGCCCTTGTCAGAACTGGCTGTGCCCAGCCATGCCACTGCTCATGTGATTTCTCTCTCCTCGCCTGCATGAGCAGAAGAAGATCATGATTATGGTCTGCTGTGTGATCCTGGCTATCATCTTGGCTTCTACCATTGGGGGCGTACTTGCCTAAGACGGTGAGCATCTGGGGGAGGGGTGGGCGCGCCCTCCACCTGACAGCTGTGTCCAGCGCCTCTCCACTCCCAGGTGCGAGCAGGGTCAGTGCTGGGATAGTACTAGAGACAACTGAAACGAGGGCTCAGGGAGAAGAATGAGTTTGGAATGAGTAAGCAGGTGCCAGAAGAACAGAAAGGGACACAGAAGACAGCTATCTGTCCTGTAACTGAATCTGGTAGCAGAATACAGAACTCTGAATAGTGCAAAGGTGCAGAAGTTAAGCCTGGTGTCTGCGAATGGGAAAGGAGCAAGAATTAGTTCTGTGCTATGTGGATCCCGAACTGTTGAGAAGCCAGCCACAGTCGACCTGCATTACATGAATTTCTCCCCTCCCAAGGTCAGGACAGGTGGCCCGGGAAGGGAGCTGGGGCGCTGGCCTGGAGTGCATGCTGCTTGCCGGGATTCCCCTCGTGCTGCCCTCCTGCCCTCACAGCTGGACTTCACCTTCGCTCCTTGTCCCCCACCTCTGGTGCCATCCTCTCTCCACTGCAGGCTTCTCAGCCACACCTTTCTTCACCAGGAAACTTCCTATGACATTGGGTGCAAATAAACTATTTATGAGTTGCGCAAAGGGAGGACAAATTTATGAAAATGAGTTGGGGGTGGGGCGAAGCACGGATCACAGCAGCACACTACTGTTTGGATGGAGGTGTAGGGTGGGGCCTGCAGGGCGCAGAGCAGCCCCGCCCCTGCGTTTAGGTCACACTTGCCCCCGTGAGTGCCTGCAGGGAGGGTTGCAGCTCACCCAGTGTCTCAGTTAATACCCGGACAGCCAAAATTAGAGGAAACTGATTCAGCTCAGTCTGTGGAGGTTTCAGCCCATAAGCTGCTGGCTCCAGCACAGAACGGCACATGGCAGAGGCAACAGCTCATGGCGCAGGGGACCAAAAGCAAGAGGCCTTCCTGACCTCGCTCTGCCTCTCTTTTGTATGTAGACTGCTGGAAGTAGGGTGGTGCCCCATCGGCTGATCCAGTGATCACACTCCCTTAGTCCCGGCACTGCGCTCCAGACCCAGCCACCGCTGAGAGAGCCCCATCTAAGAGCATGAGGCTTGGGCCAGGGCCTGGAGAGCGGGGCGGACACCCAGCCAGCAGGTCTTTGGCGAATGCTCGCTGCTTAGGGCTCCTCCAGTTGCGCCCTGCAGCAAGCCTATCTCGCTTCCTTCCTCAGCGTGAGGCTTATCCAAGGACGAGCATCACTGTCTTGCTCACCGCGTCCCCACAGCTTGGCACGACGCCTGCCACTCACAGGTGCGCAGGTACTTGCTGACTAACGTAGAGTTAGGCTGTGATTTCATTCATGGATGGATCACGGGTTTCTGGCTAAGTCATCAATGGGAACACAGCTTACTGCCATCAGAGGCTGTCAAGCTGGCTGGCCAGGGACTGAGGCATGATGCAGACGCCCCACAGGAGCCCCAACCACAGGGGCCAGGCTGCTTCGAGGGATGGTGATCATGGGGTTCTCTCAGTACCTCCATTCCACAGGCGAGGTTACCGCAGGAGAGTGGCCTGGAGCCTGAATCCAGACCCCAGCAGAAGTTCTAGGTAGGACTCCCCCTGCCAACAGTGCCATTGGAGCTCACGACAAAGGAGACAGACAGTAGCTCTTGTTTAGGGCTGCTATCTCTTTTACTCAAAAATAAGTGTTTCATCTTGAATCAACACATTTCAAATCACCTGGAAGGGCCTCAGCCCTCCAGGCACGGCAGGGACCTCCCTTTCCTCAGCTCACCAACTGCTACTTCAGTGCTTTCTGCAAACCGCTTTCTGGGGCCACGCTCCATTGCCCTCACCTCCCCCACACCACGAGCTGACGCTGTTCGCGGCACGGACACCAAGGTGGCCCAAACCCTGTCCCTACTCAAGATCGGTGTGTTCGGCTTTAGAACCGGCTATATGTCTGATAGCTTAGTGATCATTACATTGGAAGGGGGTCACAAAATATTTTTTTTTTTTTTTTTTAATTTTTATTTATTTGAGAGAGAGAGACAGAGAGAAAGACAGAGAGAGTGTGTGTGGTGTGTGTGGCCCGCTCAGCCCACCAGGGGGCGGGGCTGGCATGTGGTGCTGGGGGATCGAACCGCGGTCCCTGATGCTTTGCCAAGCTTGTTCTAAGTAGGTGCTTTAGACCACTGAACCATCTCTCCAGCCCGGTCACAAAATATTTTAAAATTGCAGCATACAGTTCTCGAGGGTCATCCGACTGTTCAAATTTGTACTTTTAAACTAAGTTCTTTTTGTGTGTGTGGTACTAGGGATTGTGCCTAGGGCCACTCCACTGTCAGGCTCCAACACAAGCCCTTACTAAGTTGTCCAGGTTGGCCTTGAACTTGAGATCCTCCTGCTTCAATCTCTCAAGCAGCTGGGATTACAGGTGTGCGCCACTACCTGGCTGAAAGTAATTATTTTTTTGCTGGAGACACTACTTTTAAGGGAAGCATAATTAAAATGTGACGTGTTCCTCAGTGTGCTGTTTTCTACCCACTTTCAAAAAGGAATTTAAAAAAAATTTAAACATTTGAGACAGGTTCTCATTAAATTGGTACACTGCCCAGGCAAGGCTTGAACTTGTCATCTTCCTGCTTCAGTCTGCCAAAGTGCCAGCGTTACAGGCACGTGCCAGCACAAATGGTTTCACGTTCCATTAGTTTGTGCTTTCTTTGGTTTGAAGAGGGCGGAGACCCCAGTTGGCTGGCTGTAAAAGGCTGATCAGCCTCATACGGCAAACAGCGGGGGGCGGGGATGGGACTCGCGGGGTCCCCACTCACCACTGCTGATCTGACTGCTGCACGGCACAAGGCAGCGCAGACCCTGTGGGGACACAAATGGGGTGCCAACACGCTCCATCTGCAGCCTGGAATGCACCGCAGAAGCCCAGTGGCGTCCACCGTGGCTTCCCATGAACTATGTCCCAAGACAGAAGGACACCAATAAACACCTGTCAAACCCAGCATATATGTTCCCTCATTGTCCTTGTTTGATTGGGAAAATGCTACAGAAATAGCTGCGGATGTTTAGCAGGCGGTACAGACATGGAGCCAGGCTGGCACCTGTGGCGAGCAGTGCCTACAGACAGCATTTCACAATCCAGGAGAAGCCGAGCTCTCGCCGATCACCCTTACTCTCCTGGGGAACTTAAGGTGACCAGTGACAAGTTACATCCTAAGTGACACTCAAACTTTAATAATAAAGAATCTGTGGACAACAGCCTTTCAGAAATTACATACTCATACTCAGCTCTTAGTTACAATCTCAAAGCCGCTTGGAGACTCCAAGGGGAAGCCGAAGAAACACAGACCCGTCCCAGTGACGGAGGCACGGGTGGTCCTGTGCTCTCGCTATACACGGTGGGGCAGGTAGAACTTGCCCCAGTACCGCCCCTTCTGGGTTAAGTCGTAGGGGCTCAGTACCTTGCGCATCCCCAACATGTTGGCAGTTGCTATGCGCTCAAAGGTCCAGGGGTTCTGGTTGTTCCGTTCTTTTTCCTCCATATCTGTCTGCATCTTCTTAAGTGTTTCTCGGCTCACAGCCTTTGCTGGGAAGGGTAACTTGTGGGCAACCTGGTTCAGGAAATTTTCCACCTGCTTGAACTCGCAGCGTCCACCTATCTCCACTAGGAGGCGGCCGGCCTTCACAGGTGTCACATAGTGATCGATGGCCCCTTTGCCGCCCCCCATGCGCTGCCCCACGCTTTTGCGGGTGATAGGCTTGAAAGGGGCTGGCACTCGCCACATGGCAAACATGTTCTTGGGATCTATGGACCGGTTGATTGTCAGGCGCATCATTTCAAAGTGGCCCCAGTGGAGATAACCACCTCCAAGTGCCTGAAAGAGAATCAGAGACGCATGGGACCTGGGCATCCTTCAGCTTCTACACTGCTACGTAAGTAACTGGCTAAAACAACACACAGGAATATGAAAGGAGTTTTCCTAAGTAGCATGGAGGAAAAGCCCAGGCTAACAGTAATGAAGGTGGGCCGGGGTCGACCTATTCAAGTCAGGGAAGTGTGCCAGAGAAGGGACAGAAATAGTAAGACCGGCCGAGGGAAAAGGGAGAAGGGAGCGCAGCTGCAGGCATATCAGCAGCAGTGCGAAGGCCGAAGGCACAGGGTGTGGCGGGTGTGAGCAGAGACCAGTGCAACAGCAGTGAGCAGCGTGGAGCACCAGCAGGAGGGGGAGGGTGTGGGGAGGGCTCATGCAGCCCGGGGGAGACGACCCCACGGTCCATCTGCTGCCCGATGAACGCTAAGCCCGAGTGCACAGCCATTTGTGCAGCTGTGCGTGTGAAACCTTCATGGAAACCATTTGGGGAGCCCTGCACCCCAGTCCTTGGCTGTGCCCTTCTCGCCAGAGGCCTGCGACCACGGTCTCACTGAGCAGGTGGCCACCTTCTCCCTTGCATTAGCACCGCTCACCCTGCCTCATGTTCTGTGTTTTCACTTATGAGTGGCCAACTATGGCCTGAAAATCTGAAATGGAAAGCCCTGAAATAACGCATGATTTTTACGTTAAACATTGTAAAAACATTGATTGTTCAGTGCATGCTGTGCCGAACAGTGTTTTAAAATTTTACTTCCTGTTGTGCTTAGCTCCCCCTGGGATGTGAATCATCTCTGTCCAGCACATCCACGCTGCACAGGTTACCTGCCTGTTGGGTACCTGAAGTCCATCCAGGCCACCAGACTGACCAGCACAGTATCACAGTGCTTGTACGTGTTCACCACTGTCCTGGATGGAAAACCCGGATGTATCCATCCCCTTTGGATAAGGTGGGGAGCTACTGTGTTTTCACTCTATATTAAAAACAAAACATTGCCAGCTTTCATTACTCACCAAAATCCCAAAACTGCCTTCCGTGAACTCAGTAGCTTCGGTGGAAGGTCCCCGTATATCACTCAAGTTCTTAGGTTCTCTTCTTACCTTTGGCACGAGTGGTGCCCTTTCAACAAACTTAAGCTTGGGCCTTTCTGGCATGGATACATCTAAAGGAGCACAGACAAGCAAGAATAAACAAAATTACACATCTCAAAGGATCTACTTTCTTCCTAGAAGATCAGTAATGCTCAAGTGAAAATACAAGAAAGTTACTACTGAACAATTAATTGTGAAAATACATCCCATTCTTCTTGGACTAGGGAGATAGCTCACCTGCCTGGCAAGTACAAGGTCCTAAGTTCAATTCCTGGTACCAAAAGAAATAAAAAAAGTTCTTACATTCTTCTTTTGCATACTTTTAGTGACACTGGAATCTTCTGGTTATGACAACAAAGTAATGGAAATATTTTTAAACTTTTGAAGATAGCAGAATGTAACCTTCAAGACAAAATACACTTATTAAACCCCTAAATTCTATAACATCTCTATCAAAGACTGCTTGAAAATCACTATTTCATTTAGTCTTTAAAACAACTTTATGCCTTGGCACATTTCTTAGGACTTCCTTTTTAAAATTAGATGTTTAACCCACACCAAATGTGCCACACATTTGGTGTGTGTTAAACATCACAAAACAATCAATTATTAGAAAGTGAACACATGAACATACATCGACTGCCCACGTCTGCACACAACATTGGGCCGGCTGTATTTTCTAATATCTATTTCATAGAAGAACCCAAATCCTAGAAGAATCTGTAATTTGGTCTAGGCTATTCAGTTAAACAGGCAAAGCCAGACAGCATGATTTTTAAAAAATTACTCTACCTAACATGCCTCTGGATGTTACTGGGGATGGCGGAGAACTCAACACTGTACATAAAAGTACTGAACAAACAAGCTGTCACTCCCAGCCCTAGTTGTCCAACCACTGCTCCCTTCCTAGCTTGACAAGGTTCTTTCTCCCACAGCCCTGCTGTGCGGCAGTGTGCCTGCCCCGTGAAGGTGGGCGGGGACAGTCTCAGGTCACACAGGTGGCATCTTTACCAACTTTGACAATTTGGAAAAAACCACTAAGTGTAACTTGTTAAAATTTTATTTTACTATTTTTGGGGGGTGGGGAATGAAAGAAGCAGGTCTCCATGCTGAAAACAAACAGGGCACAGGCAACTACAAGGAGCTACCACAGTGCCTGGACAACTTACACAGAAACTACTCCCCGCTCCTAGGACCTCTGCGCCAACTACAAGGTTCCTAACACTCTTCTGGCCTACATGTCAGTATGTACTTCCAGAGAACACCAATTTAACAACTGTGTAGAAGATACAATCACCAAAATGCCCGGGCCCTTTCCATTTTTTCAAGGTTTTCCGTACATTAAAGAAAACGTTAAGTTAAATTTATAAAACTGTGGCTGCCTTAAATGTTTTTTTTGGCAGAACTGGGGATTGAACTCAGGCCCTTGTGCTTGCCAGGGAAGCTTTTATTCTACGGAGCCATCTCGGCCTGAACCGCTGGACATTCACTCCTTAGGAGAGGCAGTTTCTGGCTTGCTTCTCTGCACCGCTTGGCAGCGGGCACTCGGGCGGCCGGCTGAGCACCCCGCGCGACCCCGGCGCTCTGGGAGGCTGGGGCGCGGGCTGCAGGGCGAGCGCAGCTGGGGCACCTCGTTTCGGAGGGCCGCGGTGCCCGTCCTCTCAGTGTGCCAGTCCTCTCAGGGTGCCCGTCCACCCGCCCGCCCGCTGCCCGTCCTCTCAGGGTGCCCGCCCGCCTGCCCGCGCTGCCCGTCCTCTCAGGGTGCCCGCCCGCCTGCCCGCGCTGCCCATCCTCTCAGGGTGCCCGCCCGCCTGCCCGCGCTGCCCGTCCTCTCAGGGTGCCCGTCCTCTC